TTAAAAAAATACACTTCATCAAATATTGCTTTCAACGAAAATCATCACGATATATGCAGACTTCTCTATAATAGCCAAAATACTGCTTTATCTAGCGATAAATTGGTCACATACATAACAATGTCAATTTGAATATTAAAAATATAGTCAACAAAGTCCAAAAAAATGTAGGCATCATATGTCATATAGGAAACGACGTTTGTGTGTTATAAAAAAACAATAAAGTCTTGATTTTGGCGCCAGTCGCACACGACGCTCAGTAAGAGCATTTGTTAAAGGACGCAAAAAAAAAAACAAAACACATTTTAACATAATCGTATTCAGAAAATCCAAAACAAGTTATTGTCTTGTGTTCATGACTATTTAACTCCTTATTGAATATATGGACTATAAATCGTCTGTTGTATAATTTCAAAAATAAAAAGTGGCGCCTGTATACTGATCGACTTATGCAAATTAAGACAATACATAACTTACATAGAATTTCTTTATAAAAATAGACAAGAGAGTAGTACACACTAGTCTTAAAAAAATGGAGTCTAATTTTGTAGCTATATAACCATAAATTACACCAATTATATGTACATAGAAATGTATTATGAACATATTTAGTCGCGTTCGTATTCAAATTCGCAAGAAACGATACGAATATTAACTAGGAGATGTATTTGACAAACTTAAAAGAAATTAAATATGGAGATGCAATATTAATAACCCAACTACTTATAAGATTCATTTTCTTAACTTACTAATGTTTTAATATAAATAGCCAGCAACTACCATCTAAAAGGCGGACCTTCTCCATTTTAAGACGTTTCGCAGATACATTTTCCTCAAGATTTAGACGTTATTTTTTTTGTCTTTCTTTAATGGAATCTCTCATCATTTTCATAATGTCCCCTGGTGATATAAATACCTCTGGAACTGGCACTAGAGCAAAATTTTCCTTATCCTGATTATTTATTATGGGACGTAGTAGATTTAAGTAAAAAGCTAAGCTTATGTTACTAGCTCAATCAATTCTAAGACGTTTTGTTTAATCTGACCCATTGACACTCACAGGAGTGAGTGATCAATAGCGACTCCCGCTCCGGTTCATTCCTGGTACAAAGGTTGGCTACTGCCATTCAACGCGGCAATGCACATAGTGTGATGGGTACTTTTCCACCGGATACGATCAGGGACGGATTAATTTATTTAAAACTGTGTGTAAATTTGCTCGTTCTCATGCCTGTGTCTGTAATATTTTTTCGTTAAGTTCATTTATAAGTATGTTTTCTTGTAATTTTTATGTAGTAAATTATATAAATAAAAAAATCGGTTGTCTGTAAAGTCGGTTTACTGACGATAGTTGAACGTGACAACGTCATAAGAAAATACTGATGGAATGGTTGCATTTTACGAAAACATGTAAATGTATTATTGTATAGCAGATGTCCACGCGGACGCATCGCTCACTCAAGTAGGAGAGAGAGAGATGTCAAACGCTGCCGAAGGCGGAGGCCTCTTTGTCGCTCGTTGCGCGCTCTCGCTTGCACTTCAAGCCTTAAATGGAACGCCTCAGAGCGAGGTAACGCCGCATGAGTCATGTTTTTTCGTGCGTGCAGCCGGCTCCATCGAATTATAAGACGTTGTCACGTCAAAAAATATTATAAAAAAGATTAGTTCCATAGTGGAAGTAACTTATATCTGATCCTTGATTACTATAAAAAAAAAAAAATTACCTTGTCCAGTATCACGCCTTGTGTTTGTGCGAATTCGAGCTCCGAGAGTTGTGGACTCCGAGGAACGCCCGTTGGACAGCACCAGGTCGGGAATTGAGGATAGTCCGGTAGGGGTTTCCACGGAGACGAGGTCTCTCGGCAGGCCATGTCTGTCCGGCCGCGGCGGTCGCTCAACAGTGTTTTCAATGTAATCAGCATTTACATGTTTACCGTTTACTTTTTCGAAATAAAATGGCACATGATATAGAAAGAATTCTTTATTAAATCCTCCAGAAGTTTAATTAAGTAATTAATTAGTTTTTCACAGTTATCCGTTCTTTTTCAAGAAATATCAACGATAAATATTCGTTTTCGCATTCGCAAATATAAAAAAAAACTTTTGTTAGGTACATCACTATGCTTTTATATATATGGTAATTGATGTTATTGTGACATAATAAATTCTAAATCTTGATATTAAAGTTCGCATATAAATTGTCATTGGTTACTTTTCTAAAAGTAATAATTCTATTAACATGAAAAATTTACATTAATTATTAATACAGAATTATTAAAATAGTTGAATTTTATTCACCAATGTATATTGGTTTCGTAAAGAATAGGTATAATAATATCCTGATTCAATTACGTCCGTAGCTAACAATGGCTGTTGAGATTATACGAGAATACCTCAACGGGTCCAATTCTCAGTGCGCTTCTGCGAGCAAGTTATGCTTGCGGGCTTAAGTTATTTTCGATTATAATTATCGAAAACCTAATGCATTACGACTACAATTTTACTGTACTCTATACTATTAACTATTTTACAAGACGATTACGTACTGCAAAATGTTTTTTTCAACAGTTAGAGGTTCAACAGTCGTTTTATTTTTGGGATGCATCATGGCGGCGGAAAATAATTTATTCAGCTTTAAAGCAAATGATATAATCGGCAAATAAAAGATAATAAATTAAATAAAAAGTCGTTACACAACTCACACGAGCAGATAAAGTACCTCGTTTATTTAGTTTTTTTTATAAAACCTTTTCTATAATGGCTGAATTACAAAAATGTTTTTGCTAAGCATTTATTGCTATTTGCTAATTCATTCACAGCACAATCAATTAATTAATTAACCAATATATTATCACTTTTTTTTCGAAAACTAATAATTCGTGTTTGGAACTTGCTCGCTCACTCGGAACGCAACGCAAATTTCCATAGTTAGATCTAATTTTCACATTTTTTGTCGAGTTTTGGGAATATGGTAGAAATGTAGCTGCAGGGGGTCCTCCGAAACCAGCTAAATTTTGAAAGTGGCCCATGAGAAAAAAAGTCTGGGAACCTCTGCTTTACACAATCAAATTTTTCATTTTCATTTATGAAATTAAAATAAAGACATTTTTACTTTGACCATGTTGATTTAAAATATCTAAAGATAATTTTGTCCGTGTTGTGACGGATTATGAATACAGAGTGTCACCATCTCTATTCACCCAGGGAGAGCCTAAGGGGCGACTAAGGAAGCAAACTACGCAGGATAACAGCACTGCAAAGAATAAGGAAAACTTGAAACAAACTCTATAGGAATCCGTCGGGCAAGCATGGTATAGTAAGCCAAAACCTCTTTTCTCAGCAGAGACCTATATCCAGCAGTGGACTATGAAAGGCTGTTCCTCATCGTTCGGTAATACTTTCCCATTATACTATTTTGCATGTCTTAGTAAACTTCTAAAGTCTGAACCCAAGAAAAGATGACACGAGGAATACCTTCTACATCCGTCAGTCTATCGTATGTATATATCAAATTTTATAATACCTGAATAAATTCTCGCAATACCTTAAATTCTCGCAAACTGTAGCGTTTTTTTATAATATTAGCTTTTCTTTCTGATTAACCTGTCTTCTATTATATTCTCGTAGATTTATTTCTAATGGGTCTAATAGTTAGTGTGCCGACTGCTGAGTTCAGATTCCACCTATAAAAAAATACAATAATTATGCGATAAGCATTATTATTTGTTCTCAGTTCATGTATATTTTTGTTAAAATTTAGGTGTATTTAGTATTTAATAATAAAAAGTAATAAAGTAAGTTACGAGGAATACAGTTAATTTTTTGCCGGTGTCCTTAGGCGATGGTAGTCAGTTGACACCAGGAGACCCATCTGCACATTTGCCCCCTATTCACAAATAAAAAACTCTTTCTCTCTCCCAAGTAAGAGTTAACAACAGCTCGACATTTACTTCTGTCTGAACATACCATAAGTTTTTCCTGCGCCTTTGGACATATTATGGACACTTAGTAGATTAAAACTTCTGATTGCTCCGATTTTCTGATCAATTCATGAACACTAATTTGATCAATATGACGTATTTATCTTACCAGGTCAGTTAATTCGAATGGATTAATCCATAACCGATTTAAATGCGAGAATAAGTTTGACTCCTGATTGCTTATGTTTAAAAAACTTTAAACAAGAGTGCTCTCTCGTGTGTATGCATACTTATATTATACATACTTACTTGAAATAAAACAGCAGTACTGGTTCATTAGAAGTAAGAGGGAGACACTCAAAACTTCATTCATCAAGCTATTTTAAACCTCTCCTGTTCAGGTTCTGCTTTATATCTTCAAAATTTCGCATCAACATACTTAATGAAATTTTTAAACTGGCTTTTTAAATCATTATGACTATATTTAACACCAAAACTGAGCATAACTTGTAATCTAACAAATGAAGTTTTCAGTACGATGCTGATTTTTCCTATTATAATATAAAATTGGTAAGAAATTCTATACAAATAAATAAAGTTTGTTTGTCAAAATGTTTGTCATACGGTTATTTGCACTACACCTATGCCTAAAAACAAGTTTAAATGTTTTTTGTCTGTCTGTCTGTGTCTTCAAAATGGCTGTACCGATTTTGCTAAATTTTACTGGTAGTAAAATTTAGCAAAATCGGTACAGCCATTTTATTAGCTCTCTATATAAGGAGTAACTTACGCTGTTTTTTCTCAGGTCCGAACCAGCAATTGAACCCACTAAGGCAGAGCGCTTGTCAAATTCAACTCGAATGAAATCGCAAACACAAGCTAGTAATAAATAAAATAGCAGACAACTAGACTAGACGACAAAAATAATGAACTGATTAATTACAGACATAATAATAATGGCAATCTGAACAATGTTAAACATTATGTGACCATTAAGCAAGAACAAGCAGAGAAGATTTAACTGAAGGAACAGACAATAAAGGTTTCTCAAAACATAATTGATATAACAACAATGTAACAATGTTATTGATAGTAATACCATCTAAGCTAAAAGTACAGCTAAAAGATTACAAACCTATGACAGTAGTCTTTCGAACAGCAATAAGTGCAAAAGTATTGTATCAAAGGACCAGTGTGACCAGCAACTATAACGGACAGACCGTGATGTGGAAAATTATTGTTTTAACATCCTTAATTATAGATGTTCAACCTAATTTACAGAAGTTTCTCGGTAAATGGATCCCCGTCATGGTTTACCCAAACGTGGTATACATTCCAATGTGCACGAAATACAGTGTGTACGAAGATTTTGATGGCCAAAAAATTTGTCAATGTACGTGTGCTGATAATAAAAATACAACTTTAGTGATCATGAGTCTTGAGGAGAATATCAATTACGATCGCCAAGAAGTTGATAGAAGATCTTTTCCTCTTGTTGAAGTTTCTGACTCAACTGATATCATGCCGGCTTTGAACGTTTCCTGTATATGTGGTCAAGAGCGTTTTCGCACTCGTCTAGTGGCAAAGTCTATCAATGGCGAATATTTTACATTGTATGAACTGAAGAACGTAAGTTACTACACGAAGAAAGAAGAGAACACCGCATACATAATGGCAAAGAAGATAGAAAGTTCTTACGCGATACGAAATATTGCGAAAAGACTTAATGATTTAAAAGATAGACGAGGAGGAATCATGTGTTCTAAAGAAATTGCAGAAAATCAGTATTAACGTTATTTGTTTTTTTTTAATTTTTGTAATTAAAATTTCTATTATTATTTTTGCTTTTATTTAATGCCTGTAAACATAGAGCAATGCAGGCCACCGGCGAACCCGAGGGGAGTAGCCATAGCACCTTTTCGCGATACAAAATAGTCTGTCGTTTTTTGCAGGGGGGAATCTTTAACACGCACACATTCTCGGACTCCCATACAAAAACAATTAGCTTTTAGTACGGAACTCACACATAACAATTAAAACAACATATTAACAATTTCACACACACATATACACATTCCGTGTAATAACAATGTAGAGACGCACTACATTAACATGTAACCAAACTACCGTGGCTGTAACAACTATCGATACGCAATATCGATAAATTCGGAAAGTCGGTTATGTAAATAGGGTTTAAAAAGTGATACAAGCGTAGATATTAATATAGATAGGACTTTATTTATTACTACAACAATCATCATTGATATTACCAGTATTACCAATAGTTTTATCTATCACTTGTTTTTTAACTGGATTATTTATTTTATTTTAACACTTTATGCAAAATTATGTACAAACCATGGCGGACTTAATGCCACAGGCATTTTCTCCCAGTCTACCTTAGGGTGGTGCTGAAATGTGTTTCTAGAGAACTAGAGATTGATATGTAAAATAAGGGAAAATTATTGAGAAGTTAGACAGAAACAATTAGATAAATACATACATACCTACGTAACAAATACATACATATATATAAATACATACATACATAAACCTACATATTGATAATAAATAAAACTTTAAGTTTGTAATGAATCTGCTAGGGTGTTCAGAATGCAAGCTCGAACTTTCATCTTGAATGAGAGGCATCTGGATGCTGTCCTGATTGCCAGAGGGAGAGCATTCCAGAGGAGCATGGATTGGATTATGATTAATTTTGTATGAATATGTCGAATACATTTCTGTGAGTTAGCTTTTTTCATTAAGAATGTTCCATCCTTCTATCGTTGGCCAACACTTAAAAGTCTGAGGTCTTGAAATCATCTGAGCAAATGACACTGTTTCTTGTAGGTATCCAGGTCGGGTATAAGTTTTCATAAAAGGTCTTCGCTTTAGTTCTTAAACTCGGATCTATAAGAAACCTGCAATAAATAAATAAAAACAATGGTCGTAGTTCACACCTAGTAATTTTAATACTCGTATATATAATGTGTTAATACTCGTAAGTATTGTATTATATTGGATTGGACGAATTTTAATATTAAAGTATATTAAAATAAAACTCACAATCCACATAATTATTTTTTTGTTTTATCGATATCTTTACAAACTAGTAACAACACTATCGCTCCGTGATAGCGATTAGCAACACGACACTCGGATCGGTCGCTCGATCGAATCGAATATTGTATGAGACCGAGCGGCGTGTGTTGGTAAACAAATCCAAAACAATACAAATGTTATTTTCGTATATTTGAAGTTTATATTTATAAAATGTGTAAATACTAATAATTTGGTTAAAAAGTACTTACATATGAAAGGTAACGCCATCTTTTTGTAAACTTGACGTGGGAGATCTCTTTTTGAAGCTAAAGTCTGAACAATTCGCACTCAGCAGCGCAACTAGATTTAGTCTAGTGAGCGGTCCGTCTGCAACTAGTGTAGTTATTGTACGCATATGACCATGTGGACTTATACTTTGGCAGAGGTGAACGCTTGCGTATGGCTACTCCCTACCGTGTTGTTCTATGCCTGTAAATATAATATAATATGCCAGTTGCAAATTGTACCTTGTTTTAAACCGATGAATAAGTCGATGTCAATAGCATCGGCTTATTAAATAGTTTTGATATTACTAACGAAAACGTAAACCTGATTTGTTCCAAATTAGTGCAACAAATAATAAGTTAGTTAATCGAAAGTCAAACTATTTTTTTGCCTGTTTAAACAGAATTAGAAGTAAATTGTTACGATATGCTTTACAAGAATACTCGTACACATTAGGATAAGATTTATATTCTATACTTTCATTACTTCAATATTATGTATTTGATTAAGATGTAACGTCTTTTCAGCCCCATTTGAATTTTAGAAACCTATAAAAAATTTCATTTTCAATTTTCAAACTGAATTTGGTTTTCCTTTCCTTTGCTATGTGAGTAGTCTACGTGGATTGAAAAACATAAATAAGTAAAAAATAAGTACAAAATTTAATAAAATTTGAGCATTTTTACATTTTTAACAGTACTGTTCTTTAATGGTTTTTCTTAGAATTTTTCCAGATGCATTTTTCGGTATGCTGTCTAGAAAGGACACTTGCTTTATCTTCTTATAAGGTGCAACTCGTTTATTAATAAACTCCATAATTTCTTTATCTGTCGATGTAACTCCTTGTTTCAAGACTACAAAAGCTCTTGGTCTTTCTCCCGTAACATCATCAGGTACTCCGACAACGGCTACGTCTAATACTGCAGGATGTTCTTTGAGCACATTCTCTAACTCTGCTGGAGGGACTTGATATGCATTGACCTGTCAAACAAAACATCCATTGAAATATCAGCCAATTAATTTGCATACATTTTCCGTGTTTGTGAAATAGTTGTTATTGTTATTTCACGTAAGCCAAAACTATTTTAAAACGATTAAAAATAGAGACCTATTTGCCTAATTTCAGGGGTATTCTAATTATAATTTTGTGACATATATCGATTGGTACATCAAAGCAATCCGCAGTACATCGCAATACCACCTCGGCCTGCTTCTGCTAGGGTGACAGATAGCCTCACCTCTCAGCCCCAGGCTCAAGCTTATGAAGGACGGAGGTCGTTATGCAACCTCCGGCGAATGAGTCTTGTGGGGGCCTCTTGGACCGGGAGAGTTCTAAACCTCTCCCGGTCCCGCTCTGCCATATCCTTCGCAAGCATAACTTGCTCGCAGAAGAAGAGCCATACCATGGCCGTAATCATGTTACCGAGCGAGAGAATTCCCACTCCGATGGCTGCCACGATGTTACGCCTCTACTGCACCCACGCCGGGCATTCTGCCAACGTGTGAAGCGCCGTGTTCACGGTCCGGCTATCGCAGTGGTGGCACTCAGACGTCAGACGTTGGCTCCTTGCGGATCACCTGCGTCAGCCGGTATGATAGGGTCCCGTGTTGCCTCTCAAGCCAATCCTCTATAACCGCTCTTACCGCCGCAATAACTGCGTGCCTGAGTTTCATACACTATTTCCTTTTATTTTAATTATTTAGGTAATTAGCTGAAGTTTAATATTAGTTAACATCGAGAATTGTCAAGATGAGGTCAAAATAATTAAAAAAAAAATACAGGACTGCATATGTCGACAAAAGAGAAAAACAATTACTTTTCATTTTTACTTTACTATTGAATTAAACGATCCAACGTCGCCTTTATTTAAATGTAATCATAAATGCTTTTGTTTTGCATTTCTACCAAAATTAAGGAAATTAATAGTTAAACTGCGTAATTATTAACTTTATATGCTAGATAAACAGTCGTATAAAGTATATGAACAAAAACACCTCAAGCGACATTCCATACTGCTATCTCAGTCACAAACCTTTGTCAGGTCCTCAAAGATACCGAACCCTCTTCTACTGTCGATGAGTACGCGCGACATTATAATGTTCAAGTGACAATCCCAAAAAGACCTTACTATTCGTTATCCGTCAGGCCTATAGCTTAACCTGTCGAAGGTTAAACCATATTTGAATGTCTAAACAAATAATAAACTTTTCAAAACATCTGTGTTTCAACAACACTATAACAATGTTGTTGACAGTTTTATCGTCTCAGACATATTAGACACAATTGAATTAGTAAGAGAAATACAAACTGTATCATTCATTATCTGAATTGCAATAGTGTAAAGGCATCGAAGTATAAAATGAACAGATACTAAAATAATAAAAGGATAATGTTTAAAATTATAATTTTAACATCACTAGTGTTAGGCATTAAGCCCAATTTGCAGAAGTTCTATGGACCTTGGATTCCAGTAATGATCTACCCAAACGTAGTGTATATTCCAATGTGTTTAAAATACAACATATATGAAGATTATGATGGACAAAAAAACACCCCATGTACATGTGAGGATAATTTAAATACAACTCTTGTCATAATGAGTTTGTTGGAGAACATGAATTACGATCGCGATGAAAGTGACCGAAGATCTTTTCCACTACTAGAAGTTACTGCCTCAAGTCTTATCATGCCTTCTTTAAACGTGTCTTGTACCTGTAGGGAAGAAAAATTTCGCTCACGCGCTATAGCGAAGACTATCAACAGTGATTACTTTATATTGTACGAACGGCGAAATGTAAACTACTACACGAAGGCAGAACAAAATACAGCTTATGTGATGGCAAAAAATATTGAACGTTCTACTGCGATACAGAGAATTGTCAAAAATATTGATGAATTAAAAACACGACGTGGGGGAATTTTGTGTGCAACAGAAATTGCAGAAAGTCATTATTAAGTAATATAATTTTTTGAAAGTGTTTTTTTAATCTGAAAACTAGCGATTTTGAAATCAAAACTAACATTGAATTTAACGAATCCTGAATTTAAACACCAGGTCTGTCTTCACCATTGACACTTTCATAGTAAGTAGTTTTGAGTGCCTTAGTTATTATTTTATCACCAATAGCTGCAGTTTACAGTTTATGTATAGTGATAGAAAAACCTTTACTTGAGAAATATGCATTGACGTCCTCGTCACAATGCAAGGTTAAATAAAGCGACAAAGTGTAAATTTAACATTAAACACCAATAGCTAATGATAATTGGGTGACCACTTCTTAATACATTGAGACCTCTCCGTCCTTGAAGAGTACGTTAAGCCGTTAGCCCCGGTTGGCATACGAACATCTGTGACAAGTTTAACGGGTCAACAGTCTTTCTACGGAACTTCGATATCGCCTACTTGGGTTCTGGTGGTCTGATGGTAGTCACTCCAGGTAAAACATCGAAGTTCAGCCGTATCGTAGTAGACTTGAAGCCGACCGTAACGTAGTTTGGGAATAAAGTTCGGAGGAAGAAACTGATGATAATTATAGTCCTGATCAATCAATGGTAAGAATAAGTTAAGTAACTTCTGTCTTTTAGAAGAATAAATTTTTGAAATAAATCAGGTCTTTTTTTCTTTTTGTAATTTTAACCCGAGGGCGAAGAATTTTAACAGGGTGATTACATTAATGTACTAATTAAATGACAGTTATGTTACAAATTATATTATTAGGTTTTATGTGAGGGAAGGGAAGAGAAACCTGTGTATTTAAAAATACAAACAGAATCTGGTTTTTCCAAAATATCGTATATTTGTGAAGAAGTTTGAGAGCACAAACTTCTTCACAAGTCTACGATTTTATCCCATTTCTTTTTAACTTTTTTTAACTAGTTCCAGTCATTTTATGCACATAAAACATGTACGAGGGGTGATCAATAAGTAATGATAATCAATATGAAACAGAACTATTAGATTAAAAAAAAGTATTTTATTTTTCAACATAGTCTCCTTGCAAGTTAATACATTTAGTGTATCTTTTTTCTAAGCCCATGATTCCCTTAGAAAAAAATTCTTTGTCTTGACCCTCCCAAAATGCCTCTACTGCGGCCATCACTTCACTATTGTCCTCAAATTTGTTGCCCCGGAGGTGTTCTTTGAGCCGAGGAAAGAGGTAGAAGTCACTGGGAGCTAGATCTGGCGAATAGGGAGGGTGTTCGAGCAGTTCGAACCCCGTTTCTTCAATGGCAGCCATCGCAACTGCGGCTTTGTGAGCCGGGGCGTTGTCTTGGTGAAACAGCACTCCAGCGCGCAGTTTACCGCGTCTTTTTGACTTAATAGCTTCTCGCAATCTTCTTATTTGGCCTGCGTAGTAAGAGCCTGTTATAGTGGCCCCCTTTTTCCAAATATTCCACCATAATAATTCCTTCTGCATCACAGAAAACAGACGCCATAACCTTTCCCGCTGAACTTGACACTTTGAATTTCTTCGGCGTTGGTGAGGAAGCTCGTTTCCAAGTCATTGATTGTTGTTTGGTTTCGGGATCAAAGTGGTGGATCCAGGTCTCGTCCATGGTCACAAAACGCGACAAAAAAAATTCTTTATCGGCCTGGAACTTTTGAAGATTCACCCTCGAAATGTCGACTCGTTTCTTTTTTTGCTCGTCGGTTAACATTCTCGGTACCCAACGCGCAGAGACCTTTTTCATATGCATTTTGTTGACAATGATTTTTTGAACGCTGCCATAGGAGATCCCTGTGACCTCAGCTACATGCTTTACGGTCACCCTTCGATCGGCCAACACGATATCTTCCACTTTTTTGACGTTTTCTCCAGTAAGGGACATGGAAGGGCGTCCCTCGCGATGTTCATCTTCAGTGGTGGTTCTGCCCAGCTTAAATTCCCTTGCCCAGCGTGCGACTGTGGAATATGGAGGAGCAGACTCCCCCAATGTTTCCTCTAAGTCGCTGTGTATGTCTTTCGTAGACATTTTTTTCAGGCAGAGGTACTTGATGACAGCTCTTATTTCATTTTTCTCCATTTTGATGTTTTCTCTTCGACAGTTCGTATTCAAATGAATGTATCTCCCGGTAATGGTGTCCTATTTATACATTTTTTTGAAGCTGAAGTAGTGGATATATAAGCAAGCAGAAAAAAAATAATTTGGGTTTTTGTGCGTTCTAGAAATACTCGATTATCATTACTTATTGATCACCCCTCGTATATATAACATATTGAAGAATTTCTGATAAAACCAGCCAAGTTTGAAGCACTACAAGTAAGGGTTTAAAATAAAGTTTTTTTTTTACTGAACTAAATTGACTCTACTTAGCTGGTTTTTGAACTAAACCCTTTAGATTTACCTTTATAAGTTCCTTAAGTCTGTCTGATATAAACAGCAGGCCAGTCTTGTCAATTTTGCCTATATCGCCGGTCCTAAGCCAATCACCTTCAAACGTCTCTTTTGTAGCTTGTGGATTTTTAAAATAACCTTTCATAACGTTTGGGCCTCTGACTAAAAGCTCGCCGACCTACAACAGTACAGAAAATATTAAAATATCAAATGTAATTTGCTTTTACTTAATATTATTTGTATGTAAGTATTTCATGCTTCGGGACAGATACGATTATGAAATCATCACACAATCATTTGTCCTGTGTGGCAACCGAATCCACGACCTAAACCAACAGGCCAGTTATCACTCGCTTGTACCTTGGCCTCTTAAAACGCTTCAACTATAGGTTATGGACCTATAAATAAAGCAATGAATCTCTATTTATCAGTTGCTAGTTGTGTCAGTGAAAATATTAAAAAACAAACCTTATCAGGGCCTACATTTTTCATTTCCCTATCAACTATTCTCATCTGAACATTCGGTAAACAATGGCCGACATCGTCGTAGGTTTTTTGTCCATTTGCCGGCAGACTTACAACTGGGCCAGCCTCAGTCAATCCATAACCTTGACAAAAGTCGACATCTCGCTGAAAATAATATTTTTTTAAGCAGATACAATACCTAGAAGTAGTGTTTTTATTGTTATTGTTTTATAAATGATATTTAATGTTATAAGGGGGCGGTTAAACAGACGGTTCACCTGGTGGTAAGAGAGTGTGGTGGTGGTTAGAGATCCGCAATCGTACCCCAGATACCGTAAAAGACTTGTCAGAGTGAGTTGAAGAGCTTTTACTATATAAGTTATATTAACTGATAGAATACTTATGTACCTTTTTTTGTAAATACATACAGATTATACATAGAAAACACCCTAACTACGAAAAAAATATTTACAGATCATTAGACACAAGACTGCACGGAGGGCTTAGTGGTTTAAGCGGTCACCTCGCCGCTTACTACTACGCTGAGAGTTGTGGGTCTAATCACCATATGCGACGACACTTTGTGTGATCCATAAATTGTTGTTCTGAGTCTAGGTGTTCTTTGTGTCTGTTTCATGTACGTTTGTTAATTCCCCGCGACACAAAATACATTACTAATACGGAAGTTGTCTTTTAAAAAAAAGCAAACATTTGGTCGGACTCGGGAATCGAATCCGAGACCCCAGCACAGCAGTCGTATACGTCACCATTGTACCACCGAGGCAGTCGATCGTTCTATACTTACTCCTGCTTTATGCAATAATCTCTGGACGTCTGCTGAAGGAAGTGGTGCAGCTCCTGATGTTATAGTCTTCACATGTTCGAAATGCTTAGCAGTCACTTGAGGGTGTGAGCCGAGAAACAATACTGAAATGAAATTAATTTTGAAATCTCAAATAAAATTCTCAACAGTAATTATTATACTTAGGTAGAATAAATCTTAAATACAATTCCTAAAGTAAAAATAAAGACTAAAAAAAAGTTTATTAATAAAAACTTTAGTTTCCATTGTTTTTAAACAAAAGAAACTAAAGTTTTAACAGTCACACAGTTGCTTTAATTTTTGTAGCCTTCAGATAGATGACATTGAAAATACGGTTTAAATATCACTTTATTAGTCAAGATTACACAAATCAAAGACAGAAGTAAACGTTGACAGGTAGACAAATCCAAACTGACTTTTATGCAATGTAGGTACTTCTTAAAATTAAGTTGTCCGATCTAATGTTTACATGCAGCAACTACTTTATAGGTAACACAAAAAGGTATTTTTTTTATTAAGAGTTGGTTTACATCATCTGCCTACCCTTTTCCCAATTTTATTTGGGGTCGGCGCAGTATGTATGATTCTTCCATTCTACTCTGTCATGCGTCATCTCACTATTTACTCCCTTCCTAGCCATATCCTCACTGACGCAGTCCATCCACCTCTTTTTCGGTCTGCCTCTTCTCTTGTACCCTTCAACTCTCATACCTAAAACTTTCTTCGCCACATTTTCCTCATCCCTCCGCATGACATGTCCATACCAAGATAACCTATTACTTCTTAACTTTTCATCCAGTGGCGCTACTTTCGGACTCCCTCGTATATACTCATTCCTAACCTTGTCCATCTGAGTCACACCACACATCCATCTCATCATTCGCGTTTCGGCTACGTTCAGGCGTCTCTCATCCGTTCTCTTAATGGGCCAACTTTCAGAGCAATACAGGACGGCAGGTCTGATAATAGTTTTATAAATTTGTCCCTTCAGTGTTAAGGGGAAACTGGGGTCACAAGTTGTTCCCGTTACCTGCCGCCACTTCATCCAACCCGTATTGATTCGATGCTGTACAGTTCGATCAATCTCACCATCACATTGTAAAAGGGAGCCGAGGTACTTGAAAACAACACACGCCGAGGTACTTGAAAACAACAGTGTAAAAATATAATAACTTAAAAAAATACATGAAAACTTTGTGATAGTTCACAAAATCATTAGTTAGAAGTTGACTTAAATCTGTCGTGAAAGCTTTATTTAACAATTTCACGTTTCATGTGAATTATTTTGATATTGGAAGGGTAAATGTGTTGAATATAATATTAAATAATAAAAAAATGATCCAAAAAGAGACAAACACTACATTTTAACAATAATAAAATTTCATATAATTTTAACAAGGCAACAATAGGTAGGTGTGCGTAGTGCATAAATTAATGTTAAAACGGACAAAATAATGTTAGTTATTACACTTGTAGGTTTCTTAGGATGTCCTAATGGTATAAGCTTTAAAAAAATATCATTTAAATAAATAAAAAAACTATTTTTAAAAGTAAAGAAACTAATATTCTGATTAAAACGAAATTAAATTCCACGACTTGTAAACTTACCCACAGGTGGTGCAAGGTACATTGAATGTATTTTGTGCATAAGTATCGTATTCAGAAAAACTTCAGGCTGAAACTTTGGTAAGGTGATAAGTTTCAAACCAACTGTCATCTTATGAATCATTTGTACGCTCAGCGCGAAGGAATGAAACATTGGTAGAACTACGAGAGTGTTATCTTGATGACTTGCTGAAAATATGAAGACGTCGGTTAATGAATAAATCGTTATTAGTATATCCGTATGGTGACGGATTAAGAATACGGGCTGACTCCACCCGTATTCATCGAGTGGGTGTCGTAGAAGCCGACTAAGGGAGCAGACTACGCAGGACAAAAGCGCTGCAAAGAGAAGGAAAACTTGACTTAAACCCTATACCAACCCGTCTAAACAGCGTGGTATAGTAGGTCAAAACCTCCTTCTTAAGCAGAGGATAATTGTGCAGTGGACTATTAAAGGCTATTAATGATTTTTTTATTTATTTTATAAATAATGTATGTAAATAGGCGTCATGTGTTGTACAGTTTTAATTCAAATTTGTTTAATGTTAACTAAAAGTAGCCGAATTGATTTTTTTTTCTTCTTAATAATTTCTAGTGCGCTATTAAAATTATAAATTCAAATGGCTAACAATTTTTATTTTGATCATTAACAAAATAACTAACTGAAATACTTCATGATCTACTACTAACTTCAAATTGGTAAAAAAATATGAACCATATAATTTTACCTAACTTATATTGTATTTGTATTATTTTCTAATCGTTTATGTAAAAAAAAAAGTACACTGTAGTAAAAAAACGAAAATAATTATAACTAAGCTTATTTAACCTTACCAGTTGTATAAGAATACTGTCTTAATTCTGTATTCTGTTGTTCAGAATTGGATATTAAATTCTTATGTGTGAGTTCCACGCCCTTTGGTAAACCAGTTGTACCACTAGAATACAGCAAAATCGCTACATCATCACAATTACTTTGAACTTCGTTTAGGATATCTAAATCTACGTGATGGTCTTCAACTAGTTCTTTGTAAGATATTGTTCCATCAAGTCGAGATTCAGTTATGTCTAGCATTATTATTGGAATGTTTCTTTTAGCTAGTTTAAGAGCCTCTTTTATTGTTGGTGCTATATCTATATTTGTAACAATAACATTAGCTTCTGACAAAATGATTTGTCTCTGGACTTCATCTGGAAGGAAATGGAAGAAAATATTAATATAGGTTACAGCACTTCATTATAATTTTTCACATATATTTATTTCATTATAATTATTTTCCAAGCAAGTTTTATAATCAATCATGAGTAGTATTTTACTAATAAACTTACATGGCGTGTAAATAGGGTTCATAGTGGTAACTACACCGCCAGCCGCCAGTATTCCCATCGTGATGATTGGATATTCGGGACCATTCGATAACATCACAGCGATGACATCCCCGGCTTTAATTTTGAATTTATTTTTAAGGCTTGCTCCGAATACTCTTGATTTTTTGTACACTTGCTCGTAAGTGTATCCTCTGTTAGTCACACCGCAGACCTAAAAAAAAAAACAAGAAAATTAGATCTATCAAAAGCTTTTGACATTTTAATTATTTTCCTCCTTAGATTCAAGAACTGTTCCGAAAATAGGTGGTTATACACGCATTAAGAGAAGCTAAGCGACATGTACGATTTTGAACTTTGAACAATTTTACTACCTATTGTAATAAATTTATATTTCTTTTATAAATAATAATTAACTATATTATTCTTATATATTGTGTGCTTAAAGTCCGGCACTGGTAACTATCGTGTATACTTTTGTTATTCAATTTTCTGGATCGGATCTCAATAGTCCCATGTTAAGCAGGCTCTGACACGAGACGCAGCATAAATTTTTCCACCTTTCGCTTGGCAGAATAAACTAAGCTTCCCCCTTCTAAACACAATCTTTTGTTTAGCAATCTCAAGCTCTGCGGGAATGCAGGCGAGTTGTGAATTTACAACACACTCTCATTCGTTACCCTATTTCGCCAAATGATGTTCATACAGTATACTTCGGAGAAAGCAAAAGCATGTTCATATTCTGCATAAACTTTTCATGTTTTGCATAAGGTTGGCAGGAATTTGGTATGAAGTTTGGTATTTTACGTAGCAGACTTTACATTTCTAGAGCCGGTGACAGATTACTGGACATGGCTGACCTTTTTTTTAAGCGGGGAATGCATTTCGCACCACACCTTCTATTGGGGAAACGGATGGCGTATGTGGGACTCAGAGAGAACCGGTCTACCCACTAAACCCCGCGACGGCGTACCTCGGCTCCCTGCCGTACCCCATGACTACTGACCGACCTAAGGTTCTGTTCAGCCAGTTTCGGCCAAAAAGCCTGGTTACGGTTCCAGTTTTAGTTTAGAAACTCCATGTTTTTGCAACGTTTGGTTAATTTCGCGGCTGACTCGTGAACACCGGCCCTGGCTTAGTTCACCGCCTTACAGTGCCATCTTTCTTATGGCGTATATCGACGGACAATTAAGAGTCACAAGGCGAAAAATAAACTGTAACATTTCTTGAGTATTGAGTATCATTTTGTAATACGACCCTTAGATTTGTTTGTTTGTAAATACTTCATTGATGTTGAATTGCAATAAAATGGAATGATGATGATACTAGGTGGTGATTCTAGTAGGTACTTACTTTTTTTTACTACGTATTTTTTTTTTGTTTTTACCTGCCTACCTAAATACATTTTCTTTTTTACCTGCCTACCTAAATACATTTTGATTTAGAATTAATGTCGTGTGTCTACCTTATTACACCGATTTTAGGTAGTATGTAGGTATAACAAGGTTAGAATTATTTATTTCTTAAAGATTACAAATCACTTCACACAAGAAATAAACATATGAAAATAATGAGTACATTTACACATAGTTCAGAGCTCGCTAATAAAATCGTTCCCAAATATATCATGGGACTATTGAAATCAGACCCAATTGTAAACTGTATCATCATCTTTAGCCTATCGCAGTCCACTGCTGGACTTAGGCCTCTCCCATTGCACGCCACTTAGATCGATTTTGGACTTGTCGCATCCAGCTAATGCCAGCCATCTTGCGCAAATCCTCACTCCACCTGGCCTGTGGGCGTCCTACACTACGTTTGTCGAGACGCGGTCCCCACCCAAGAACTCGTTTTCCCCAATGGTTGTCCGTTCTGCGGCTAATATGGCCAGCCCACTGCCACTTCAGCTTTCTGATCCGGTAGGCTATGTCGGTGACCTTGGTTCTCTGCCGGATAACCTCATTTCTGATGCGATCCCTTAGAGAAACCCTTTCCATAGCACGTTGAGCGACTTTGAACTTGTGGACCAGCCGTACCGTAAGTGTCATCGTTTCGGCTCGTATGTCATGACGGGTAGGACGCACTCATTGAAAACTTTCGTCTTAAGTTTCGGCACTGTGGGATCGACACACAATTGCTTAACACCGGTTTTGTGTGGGGTCATGGAATCACTGCGGTCGAGCCAGGTCCATTTGTCCCACCGTAAATTCCATTGTAGTATTATGCACTAGCTTTTGTCTGCGGCTCCGCCTGCATAAATATTACCTCATACAAACTGCCACCCCATTTGCAACCCACTTAAAGAATGAATTCTGGTCTAAAAACTACTATCCTTTCCCGGGACTAGGACTATCTCTATACCAAATTTCATCTCGTTCGAAGCGTGAAGAGGTAACAGACAGACAGAAAGACTCACTTTTGCATTTATAATATTAGTATGGATTCTATAGTATTGTGCCTATTGATCATATCACTTTACGCAATAAAACAATAACATTAGTCGTGACATAATATTATGTAAAATTTATTATTGATAAGATTAAAATTAAGGCCCATAATACGGTAAGATAAGATTGCCCTTAAATGCGCAGAAACGTATTTTAGGTCACGTATTGGTTAAGCGGTGCGGGGCGCTACGGCGGGAACCGTCGTTTGCCATTGGTCGATTTAGTCGACCCCCGCCACTCCCGCTGCGTCCGAAGTCCGTTGAAAAAAAAAACAGAAAACAATAGGAAGTTGTGAAGGTAACAACCAAAATGTTTTTTACTACGGATTGAATTTCTCTAAAAAATAAGGAAGTAGAAGCTAGAAAGAAGACCAATAATATATACCGATGAGTCCTATATCGACTCATCGCATGCAAGTAGCAAATCATGGACAGATGGGTCAACTCAGGGTTTACATAAACCAACTTCGAAAGAACAACGTGTAGTTATTGTTCACGCGAGTTCCAAAGATAGACTTGTTCCTTTTATTCAAAGCGGGCACAAAATCGGGCAACTATCATGACAATATGAACTTTGACAACTGTGAAACTTGGGTTCGTTGCCAATTGCTACTGAAACTGCCAAGAAAAGAAGGAGAAGGAGAAGCAAATGGGAAAAAGTATATCGAAAGTTTGGAGAGATTGAGGAGGAGTATGTGAAAAGTGATCATCTTGTAGATTCCGTCACTGAGCAATTTATTATTTATGCTGATGATGATAGTGACGATGATAAAATCACTCCTATCCACAGCCCTATTTTCTCTGAACCTATGCCTAGCACCAGTTCCGCTTCTGCTGGTTTGGAGCTAATCAAAGAAATATCTTGCTTACCTCAAGAGTAAATTCTAAGATCAAGAAAATGTATTTATCGAACCAAAGGCGATTTTCTCCAACATAACAGACTTAAAATTAGTTTATTGTCATTTTTAACAACAAATGTTTATTTTTACTTTATTTAATATCTAATATTTTATTTTAGATATTAAATAAAGTAATTAAATGCCTATGTTTTTACGCAGTCAAGGAAATAATTATAGTACAAAAAAGAGAGTTGTACAATTACATTAATAAATTGTTTATTTCGTTGCTATATTTATATTGTTATCGTTATTGTTATAATTCCAATTAAGATTGTCTGTTGTTGTCTTGATTACGCTTGTTTGAATAAATAATACATAAAATAAAGTAATACTTCGTATTTTCAATTCAAATTAATTATAATTTCAAACATCCCCACAAGATAGAGGTTACATTAATAAAAGCAAACAGTTTAAATTAATATTATAATTCGTTTATGCACCCATTTTTTTTTCTTTAATTTTTCAGTTGGTCTATGGAAGACTGTTCATTGATGATGATTCTTTATGTATCCTTTTTTAATAAATAGAATGTTAATACTTACCACGGCAGTTTTCGTCGCCCACTTTTCTAGATTCCAAAACATATAGTCATTCAATGTTACATTAGGAATATCAATATCTTTGTATGGAGAATTAACAATTTTTTCACTAGTCCATATACTTTTATCTCTTACAAGACAACTAGGAAATATTAAGTTTTTAAAGCGAGGTTTAAAACAATTGACAATCAAAGACATTATTTTTACAAGTGAATATAAATGTAGTAAAAATAACTCTTAAGCTGTCTGCACACATTCACAGACGGTCACTGTCTGAACCTTATGCATATATAGTATAACCTTGTCTAGGATAGATATCAAATATACATATATTGCGTATAGCTTCAATCATTCGTTCTTTTACTGTAGAGAATTACTGATTGTTATTGTTGTATTTTAAATTTTATTCAAAATTTATTTTTGGAACTACATTTTATGCATAAAAAATTTGGTTAGCAAACACCAACGTATGCCGAGTAAACCACAATCATTTGCACCTATTCCTTTCCCCGACAGCAGGTAAAGAAGAACGATCGAATGTTACTTTACATCTACTCTAAATTCTCTTGTAGGGTTTAGGTCATTGAACTGAGAATATGTTACAAACATTGGTTACAAGAGCTAGAAAAGTGTGTGTTCTTTGTGTTCTGTTCCTAATCTCGTGTCGCCAGTCGCATCAGCACTCCAAGCCAATTCGTCACAAAGGATATTAATCCTAAATCCCATTTATAATTATACCAAATACATCCTTACACCGTTCATTTTGAAGTAGCTTTTCGTAAACACATTGCACAGTTTGAATATCCATTCAGTTCGAAAGCAATTATTTCGAACTGAACGGATATTTAAACTGATTGAATCCTCGTTTTAAGAGTTAATTATTTGTGCAAGTGGACAAAGTCTGGTATTTAATGCCTATATCGGTTTTCTAGATACCATAAATCCTGGATATATTCATTTTTCTTAGATATTTGCCATGTTCATCTTGATTGACACTTTCCGTCAAGAAGATATTCACCTATCCTACATATAATAATTAATTAAAGTATTATTATTAATTTGAATGAATAACCCGCCCGACAGGGTACATGATGATTTGATCTCATATTTATGAGTTCCCACCTAAACACACATTGTGGAATGCAATAAACATATTGAGTATTTTAATACCATGTTATTCATACATACTTTTTATTATATTATTCATTCATATTGAGCATTTTGCACATTGTATGGACATTAAAAAGAGTGCCATTTCTTGCAAATAATATATTGAGGTAGTTAACATGTGAAAAGTGCTATTATATGCTATTGCAAAATAAATGTCTATTAGTTTTCTTTTTGTCTTGGTTGTCATTGTACTCCTAGCGCCGTTGGTTAAAAAAGTGAATATCAAAAAGATATTACCCAAGCTATTACTAATTTCGTTCTGGTGCTTCAGCAGCTTTTGTTTTCATGAACCCAAATACATACTACGTAGAGACACGATTTTTGTGTTCGAAATTTCTCAGACGTGCCAGATCTTGAATTCTAAACGAATCTTGTAACGTGAGCAACTGAAAGAATCTAAGGATCTTGTAAGTTTATTTCTCATCAACTCGCTCTCAACGGCGGTCACCATGACGATCTAGACGATATGAAATAAACTTACACTGTCTTTGGAGCTTATAGAAACAGGTACACAATGAGAAGGTGGGTTAATTGAAATTAGAGGAAGCAGATGTGTGTAAAATAAAATATATTTTCTTTAAAATGTTCAATTCTTAATTAATTTTTTATTTATTTAATTCTTTATAATTAAATGTGTATATATTTCTTAAAAGTATTATAAATTTTCATAAAATATATAATACACAATATATAAAACATATAATAAATTTATTTACAAAAACAATAAAGGATGTATAAAATATATCCGTAACATCTCTATTAAAAAATGCGAATAATTTGCATTCAATATTTGTTTACTCAATTTAAAAAATTGTATGATTCACATCAACAGCCTTTTTTTATTAGTGGACTATCCACTGCTGGACATAGGCCTCTCCTTAGAAAGGAGGTTATGGCCTACTATACCACGCTGGCCAGACGGGTTGGTATAGGGTTTGTGTCAAGTTTTCCATCTTTTTGCAGTGCGCGACACCCACGGGATTGGGGTAGTGACATTCCGTATTCTTAATCCGTCACTACACGGACATGTATAATTTACACTTACAAATTATTTATCATCTTCTTCTGCATCACTATGCATTCTAGCTTTCTATTCTGATTTCTAGCTTTGGATTCTGCACCGTCTACGGCGATAGACCACCATGTATTGATATTTTCACTTGCCAATTTACATTTAACAAGATTAAGGCAAGGAAGCAGCCATAAACAATTAATGCCTACCAGGGGTGTTTTTCAACAAATCAACCGTAAATTTTTCCTCTTCTATAGGGGGCATGGCCAAGATTTCTTTTAGGGAATGTCAAAACTAGGGAGGTAAATTATATTCTGCATAATAATATTAGGAAAAAATATCTAATTGAACCTATATAAAATTAGACTCAAACATTTTCAGCCAGAGCTATTTATTAACAGCAAAAATAATCGACGACGACGCTTAAAACATTGTAGTTAACTAAAGTAGTTCGCTTTGAAATGTAATATGCAGAAAGATGGTATGAGGAGCGGGAGTACTCTATTGGCACACGCTTCAGCAGATCAGATCCAGAAATTGCTGAAATTTTTAGAATTGTGGCCATGATGTCCGCCAAATTAAAACAATCAACTCACACGGTTCTAACAATCTACTTCTGTCAAGACCGTAAAGATGTCACGATAAGTTAATGGGGCAGTAATGTATTTACGAGTAAATCAAAATTTTCTATGTCAAAAAATAAAAATTAATATTTTCAAATATTGCAAAAGCAAAATTACAGACTAATTGAGTCATTTTTGAAGTTTAAAAATCTTATTAATATTTTACGTACAAGTGATCCTGTTTTGATTCGTCAGTCAAATTTAATGTACAAACTGATAAAATATTGCCTCTAAATTTGAAGCTAACAGTACTTTTCTTTCAAAATTCTCCTCAAAATTTTTCCCGATGCACTTTTAGGGATTGCATCAACAAACATTATGTCATCTACTTGTTTATAAGCTGCCACTTTCTGATTAACAAATTCCCTTAGTTCATTTTTAGAGCATTTTTCTCCAGATTTCAATACCAGAAAAGCTTTTGGCGTTTCTCCTTTTATTTCGTGAGAAATACCAATAACTGCTGCATCGTTGACTAAAGGGTGTTCGCGGAAGACTGATTCTAATTCTGCAGGAGGTACTTGAAATCCTTTAACCTGTGAAATGAAATATTTCCATTAAATTTGTAACGATCTCAAAATGTTACTATCAACAATGAACATGTTAGAAATACAGAAATAGAATACGTTGAAATGTGCCAAGATAAAAAGGACTTAAAAAAAAATTTAATAGTTTGAAAAAACTAAAAAACACGCTTTTTATAGAAAACCAAACTATAAATAAAAAATAAATTTTAATAAATTTGAAAAAAAGCCTGGGGTGCTTTTTACTATTGACAACCGGTCACCCAACGCTTTTTATGTGGTTTTTAGTTTTTAAAACTATTTTTTATTTATATACATATTTTTTAAATTAGTGTATTGTCATCGGTCCTCGATATATCTACAAAGTTTCAACGAATTCTGACCGTTTAAAGTCAATCAAAATCATGCACAAAAGAGTCAGTTACAAACAAACTTACAAACATACATGTGAAGCTAATATAAAGCGTGTAAAAAGAGGTGCAATTATGATCTTACTTTAGGGATCAGATGTTTTTTTTTATTTAATTGATTAAGTCTAGGGAGCAAAATAGATTCTTCCATTTACCTTAATTAATTCTTTTAGTCTGTCAGTAATGGTGAGTTGACCATTTTCATCAGCTATTGCTAAATCTCCGGTTCTAAACCAACCGTCGGCTGTAAAGGCTTCGTTGTTGGCTTGAGGATCATTTCTGTACCCTCTCATAACTTGTGGCCCTCGAACTATTATCTCGCCAGTCTGTACGTAAAGGAAATTGTGTAGCAAACCCTTAATGCGTTTTTTAATTAACTCAGTTAGTTACTTATTGAAACTCATTGTGTACGTAATACGTACGTAATATACTCTAACTTTGAACTTACTTTTGAGCCTATTTTTATTAATGAATAATTTGATTGCATTGAAAGGAAACTTTAAACCAAAGAAAAAAACATTTTTAAAAAGTAATTCTACTTTTTAAAACTAACTTATAAGGAAATAGTAATACCACCATCCTCCAGAAAGAGTTAATATTATGATATTAGGGTTAAAGTATGAAATTGCCGATTTGTACTGAAAAATTGTAACATGTTTTTTCCTAAGATGTAATATATATTTATTTAATCAAAATATTTATCCTTATTATCTATACATTGCTGCTATCTAAACGTTCATTTATGTCTTTACGATAGAACTCTGGGGATCTAGATTCGACAAACTATGTGAAAACATGTTGTACTGCCGCCTGGGAAGATTTTTTTTATTGCGTAGAAAACTGTCCAAATCACGAACAAAGTAGTCCGTTGGAGCAAGATAGGTAGTAGGTAGGAGGATGAAGTATAGTTTCTAACTATTGCCACTGTAGAGTTACAACGGTTTCTCGTGCAGTGTGAGGTCTTGCGTTATCATGGAGCAATATGTTGAAGATCGATTCACGAGTCGGGGCTATTTCACAGCCAGTTTCGTCATCATTGTTCGAAATTCGGCATAGTAAATATCTGCTGTTATTGCCTGACTAGACCTGAGAAAGCTGTAGTGAATAACACCACGAAGAGATCACCAGTTACCATTACCTTTTTATTTGTAAGATTTGCTTTAGGACACTGTTGCGGCGTTTGACCTGGGGTCAGCCAATGCATTGTTCAGTTATCGTAAATAATCCACTTTTCGTCACATGTCACAATACGATGCAATATTCCTTCATTTCTGTACCGATTCGACAAACCAGCACAAGTTTCATTTCTTCGCGCATTTCTTGCTGCACCACTCAAACCATGAGGCACCTATTTCTCATATTTTTTTATCTTATTGATTTAATGCAAATGCGTCAATATTGTAGGTAGGATAACGTTAAACCATGCCACTAATTCCTGGGTAGTTTGACTTGGACCGGCTTCCACCATCTTCTTCAATTGAGCGTTATTCACCTGTGTGAGCGGTCTTTCACGTGGTTCGTTCTTCAAGTCAAAGTCTCCATTATGAAAGCGTTAAAACTAAAAACGCACGGTCCGTTCATTAGCAGTCTCCTCTTTCTCTCTCGTTCCGCGTCGGAACTCGTATTCAAAAATGACTCTCACGTCAAAGGTGATAAAAAAAAAAACAATTGAAAGTCGAAAATCGAAAGCTGCGCATTTTTTAAACCTCATAGAGCCTCATAGGTATCATGTGAAAAAATATAAAATCTTACACCATGAAGGTTTTATGTCAATTCAAAGTATCTATTACTATACAACGGCAATTTCATACTTTAATCCCTATTATTATGTTGCCACTTTGCTACAGAAAATGAAACAATTCAATATTTGGTAAGTGGTTAACTAAACCAAATTGAAAAGTGATTATTAAGCATATTTTACCTCATTCGGTCCCAAATTGTTAAGGTCCCGATCGACGATCCTCACTTCAGTGTCCGATACAGGTGCTCCGGTTTTTTCATAGCTTTTTGAGCCTACTGTACTCAATGAAACTGTCGGTGACGTTTCTGTCAGCCCGTACCCTTGCCTGAAGTCTACTGTTCTCTATAAAAAAATAAGTGTTGAAAATAAATACAACATAGGAATACTATTCTTCTGCTAGACGTCAGTTTTGATCAGTACTATGTTATTGGTATTTCAGGTATATTTTGTTCTATCATTAAAAGAAATATAAAGTAACTAATTTTGAAATCGTAAGATAATTAATGCAATGTGAGAAATTGATTTGTGAGAATGTGAATTTAATAATGTTGTATTTTCCTGGTGTTTCTTGATAATATGATTTTTCAAGTTATTTCTTAATACTTGCTAACTATTAAAACTTGAATAATTAAATATAATACTTAGTTACTAGTCAAGCATGCCAATAATACATTCCTACATACGTTTTACGAAATTTTGTAAAACCCAGAAGACCTTTAACCTTTTAGGTTTTATTTCATAAAATAAATAAAAGTTTAAATTTAAAATTTGTGTCGGGCAATTTTTGTTGTCAATCAACAAAACGGCTAAACACCAAAGCGGAGGACGCAATGAATGCATCACAATTTAAAGTCACTGTTATTGATAAGAACAATATTAGGGGCGTTTATTTACACTAAAGTTTAACACTAAAATGTTACTAAAATTAAAAAAATCCGGACAAGTGCGAGTCGGACTTGCCCACCGAGGGTTCCTTACACATTTGTAAGTATATATTATGATTAGTTCAGGAATCGAATCTCGCAGTTTTCTCCGAGCTTTGGCCGAAAACTTTCAGTTTCCAAACCTATAATTATTTATATCCTTGAGTTTTATAAAAAAAAATGTACCTCGATAATTGATAAATAACGACTATTTTTTTTATTTATTTACAAATGTATAGTTTTTAGATTTTCCCCTTTACTTGTAGTACGAGACGATGTTGCTTACCAAATTTCAGAGTTATAGGTCAACGGGAAGTACTCTATGAATTTTAATTCCCTTGAGAATGTCGAAATATACGTTTTCTACGGCATAAATGGCTGCATCTTTTTTTTAAGTTACCTTAGGAGTTTGATTATTTTACAACTTCAAGAGTCCCTTTTTTTCTATTATTTCCTGTGTGGAAATCCCAAAAACCGCACGCCGTCTCGGGTACTATTTGCCGGGGAACCAGGTGCACCTTAGGAAGGAAAACCCTAAAACTTCAAGAGTCCCTAGACCTTAGTATAAGGTTTTAATTTTATCTCGATACCGCCACGCTTTCGCGAGATAAAGGATCTTGACAGATAGACAGACGGACAACAAAGTGATCCTATAAGGCTTTTGAGGTATGACACCCTAAATAGATCGATATCCAAATCCATACCTTAGCTTTATCCATAAAACGTTCAACATCACTGGCAGCAAGTGGTGCAGCCCCGTTGACTAAAACCTCAATGTGTTGAAGAGTTTTTTCTGTAGCTGCTGGATGGGAAGCCATCAGGAGCACTGCGAAAGTAGGTTATAATTATATCCGTGAGGTGACGGATTAGGAATACGGAATGTCACCACCCCTATTCATCCCGTGGGTGTCGTAAGAGCCGACTAAGGGAACAAACTGCACAGGACAACAGCACTGCAAAAAGAAGGAAAACTTGAAACAAACCCCTATACCAATAGGTATAGTATGCCAAAACCTCCTTTCTAAGGAGAGGCCTATGTCCTAAAATGGACTATTATGGGCTGTTGATGATGATGATATTTATTTCTAGATGCGAACCCAAGGATATTACACCGAACTGGCAAAAAGGGCCTATCATGCTAACGAGCGGGTTTTCTAGTATAAGCAGAGCGTCTTATTGAACGGCATTGACCAAATGTAGTTAATAGGACCTTGAATAAGTTCTCGCTGTTTCTTCAAAGATGGCAGTAGCAGTAGCCTGTTCGTGGAATTTCGAATGGTAACACACATGCAAAGCTGTAGTGTATCTAACCTTAAATTTCGGTGTATGTTAGTTCACTTTAGTGTAAGCAAAGTATTCTTTTCTTTGTTCTCAAAATGTCTACTTTTGTGCCAAATAAAGTGTATTTGTGGGGAATTTTATTGCACTACTTTATTCAAAAGAAATCTGCAACTGAAGCACATAGAATTCTTTTTGAGACTTAGTGACAACGCTTTGTCGGACACGACATGCAGAGACTGGTTTCGACGCTTCAAAAATAATGATTTAGAACTTGAGGTTAAAGAACGTTGTGGCGCACCGAAAAGATTTGAAGACGAAATGTTGGAGGAATTACTCGATCAAGACCAATGTCAGACGCTAGCAGAACTTGGAAAAACATTACAGGTAGATGAGTCAACTGTTTCAAAACGTTTAAAAGTTTTAGGAATGATCCAGAAGCAAGGACATTGGGACGATATTAGAAGTGTAGTAACAACGCTCATTGACCAAGTTGTAATTTGTAGAATTTTGATTTTGCAAACAGATTTATTAAACAAAACTGTCATTAATTTAGTCGTTGATTTTAAATTTACCTGTAGGTTATACTTATTCTATTATATTATATATATTACTCAAGGGCGGTGCGACCATCACAGTATTCGTCTTGTGCTTCTCCAATGTGTGCAGGAAAGCTTCCGGTTGGAACTTCGACAGCGCCACGAGTTTCGCCCCAATGGACATCTTGTGGAACATCACTACTGTTGCCGCATAAATGTGGAAGAACGGCAGTATTCCCATCACTACGTCTTGATGTGTTGCTGAAATATTATGTTGATATTTAGAATTCGTAGGTCATAATTCGGCAGTAATTTTAGCTCTTTACACTGCTGAAGAAAGGTCGGCAAATAGTAAATAATATTGCGTGATCTTTTCTTTGTTTAGCTCATTACATAGTGTCAAATAGCTACAACTAATTGACCCTTTGGAAGTGAAAAATTTAAGTTGTGTTAGTTCTTAACACAATTTTTACTTAATTTAACTCTCTCGCTGGAAACTGACTGACGTGTGTCAAAAAATTGCGTGCAAGAGAAACAAAGTAAACCTGTGTAGGTGTGGTTACTTTGTTTCTCTTGCACGCAATTTTTTTTTTCAAAGAATTTAATTGAAATTGACGTCATTTGAATTATTTTCTTCTACTCTTATCACCTTTACTTAAGGCATATATTTTAAAAGCAACCAATAATCTTTATATTGATGTACTTAAAATACATGTTACTGTCAATATTAATTGTTACTGTCAGTACATGAAATGCACCTGGCAACAGTTTCAACATTGCGACTTTCTGAGCTGGCAACTCTCTTTTTTTATATTCATTAGATATTTTTTTTGCAAGTAACTTTGGACTGACTTTAAAATGCTTATAAGTGCAATTCACTCACTTAAATAACTTACTATACATCTTTTACGTCATAGGTAACTGCAGAGTTCAGATAGTCTACTAAAAACCATAAACAGAAAGAGGAAACGTGAAACACAAGAGTTGCTTACGTTTTGATGTACTTTAATTTCAATAAACTTACGACAAATTCTAAACTCATTTTATAGGTGAATTATCCATCAATTGTAATATACTGCAATCAGCTATTAGAATTTTATTAAGTCTAGCTAATCCATTTTTTTTTTATCTTTATTTACGGAGCTTAGCCACAATGATGACTACGTCGCTCTACCATGGCTATTTTTTGTTTTAAACTTATTAAATATTGAAAATACAAAGTGGAAACATCCTTAGCTGTATCTGTCAAAGCACTGACCAGGATGCTGTTAGATGTTCCAATGTCCATCAACTTATCACCAAGCATGCGTTCTCTAAGTTGTTGGTTCCGAACACATTCCATCAAAACATGTTCTACGTCCTCTACCACACCACAGATTTCACAATTTGGCGTAGATGATAAATCCATTAAAAAAGTGAACTTTCTGGATGGGATGGGTCCAGAGCGTAACCTCATAGCCGTTATCAATTTATGTCTACTTAAAGAACAGTTATCAATCCAAGGGATAGCCAGCCGTTCAGGTTGTATAGTTTTATACCAGATACCCTTTTCAGTTGATCTCTTATCGAAATATTCTTTCCAGGATTTAAAACAGTATTCTTTTACCAGATATAGGCTGTCTGAAAAGTAAGACAGTATTGAAATAGATATACCTTCAGAACAAGCCCGCTTTGCGAGTGTGTAAACAATTTCGTTCCCAGGTATGCCTATGTGAGATGGAATCCACTGAAGGTGTACTGTTCTACCGCTTCGTTCTAGCTCTACAATTTGATTCATAATTGTGTATGCTATGGGTGTTCCTCGAGTTGTGGAGGTACACCGAGCTACATGTAGAAGGGCAATTTTAGCGTCAGTAAAAATAACGAACTTGTCGTGGTCTATAGAATGAATGTAAGATAACGCTTCACTGATAGCTATTAATTCAATATACATGATCGACATTTTTACCCTAATTCTATAACGAGTGAATGTATTTCGCTGAGGGTCAAAGAGGGCTGCTTTTTCTTTCGATCCCTCGGTAAATATCTAGTAGTAATTCGGAAACCGAGTATCCATATAATTAAAACACAAGTCTCTCAAAACGGATATCCCATATTGCCGTGTAGGCTTGTTTATGTAATCTATATTATATTTTTGATTTTTAAAAATATCTATATAGCCCATCCCAAGCCGATTCTCAAACATCTCTAAATTTTGGCTACTATGAACTTGCACTTCTCTTAATTGTTCGTACATTATTATTAAAACAGGTTTATTTTCCTACGCCATGCGATTAGACAGTTGCCTAAATCCTCTAAGTAGTTAATTATTTTACTATTCGTTGATAAAGATTTGCATTTTAGTAAAAATTTACTGGCTAAGTAGCAACTACGTATATGTAACGGCTGTATCGCTAGTTTACTGCTCATTACATGGATAGGTGTCGTTTTGATAAACGCACCGTTAATTCGCATAGCCTGATTTTGAGTAATTTCTAATTTGCATAGGTGTGTGTTCACTACTGTCACCGTATAAAAAGCTACCGTAGTCTAAACGACTTCTTAGGAGAGAAATATACATTTTTCTTGAATGTTTCGGATGTATACCCCTTATATACTTATCCCTTACCTATATATATAGATATTCTTTCATTAATTTCTCTTATGAGTTTAGCCCATCTTAGAGATCGATCTAGCCACAAACCTTAATATTTTACACTATCTGCTACTTGCAGGCTTCAATTATTCAATTTTTTATGAAATATTTTGTCTATTACAACCTTTTTAAAGACGCATATGTTACTCTTAGAAGGCGAAATCTCTAGACCAAGCTCAGATAAACTGTCTACGATATTCTCCAAAGAAATTTTTATGTGTACAATAAATAACGAAATCATCTGCATATTGTAAGATGTGTATGGAATCGGTGTTGTGTTGATTGCAAATGTCTATAGTTGATACATTAAACAGCAAGGGTGATGGTGGGTCGGGTATTAAATTACTTAGGAATATGTTAAGCCAATCTACAACCACTTTTAACCCATCCTTAAATTGTATTTGAATCTGATGTTTTATGTTATGTATCATCTCTCTAATGTTTTCGTACACACGCCGAAGTGGCGATATTTCGTGAGATTATTTGCTTGTATAACGTTGTGTAATTTAAGAATCTTGAAAGTCAGCTGAATCTTCGGGGTTAGAGTCAGTGACAGACATATCCACTATAACATTATCGGACAGATGGAACGGAACTTTTGTTTTCTTTTTTTTTGTGAGTGTTTTTGGTTATCGTTAGTTGTCTTTGGTCGCCCGTTGATCTCAGCTGATTCTAATTGCTCGGTGCACTGGTGTTAGATGATCCTTGAAAGGCAAGGCCCTTGTTGCTGTTACTTAAAGACTTGTTTGCTTCGGCTGTACGACGCGGAGAAGGCGGAATAAAGGTCACGGTTTTTTTATAAGTACACTTCAGCTGTGACATAATCTCACGAATCTGTCTTTCGCTTGCGTAAACCAGGCAATCCGTTGATAGTAAAATATGGTTAGCAGAGCAGTTGACACACTTATAAATAGGTATATCACAGTTTGCATTATCATTTTTGCCACATTTCGGGCAGAGAGACTTGTTGGAGGGGCACATCTTCGATGTATGACCGAACCTCAAGCATCGTGAGCATTATGTCACAGGGAACACAAACGGAGAAACAGCAAAGCGTAGGTCCTTTGAATAAATATGACTTGGTAAAGAATTATCCTTAAAACAAATTCTCACGGTTTCACTCGGAGTCCACCCTTCCTCCGTTCTCCTATTCATCCACTTAGCGGTCACAAGGTATTTATCAGCCTGAATATATTTTATGAGCGCCGCCTCTGATAGTTCCATATCTATATCTTTGATAATTCCATAGCATGTCAACCTCCCAAGTTTTTTATCGGCGCCAACCAAGTTCACTTAAAGCGGCGCTAGATTTAAACTTCTCGGTGTTCATTTCCTTATCAAAAGTGAATAATAGCTTATACGGGTTAACATATTTAACTCTTGTGACTCCAGTTATTTTATTTTCGTTTGGTAACTTTACCATAGCGAATTGCTTAAGTAGTTTTTCTTTAGAATATACGCATATCTGCCACATAGTTTCTATCGATTGCTTGCTGGACAAATCTATAGATTTTCTTATCTTCGCAACCGTCTGCCAACCTTTTTCGCTATTCTCGACTCTTAACCGCTTATTTGTTAGTTCTTCATTCGTCTCCATGTTCTCCTCTAAACAATATGTATGGTCAGTCAGTCGGTCACCGCGCTGGTCAACTATGGAATTTTGATCACAGTCATTGTAAACTCGTCCGCTAGCCATTCAGAATACGGTTCATATTAACTTCACACAATAGACAGCCGGGCACCGATCGCGCTGCGCCGAGCGATAAGAAACCGGTTAGTTGTTTACTATATTTGTTAACCACTGAGAACGCGTTCCAATCGCACGAGGTGTGAATTAGCACTGTATAATCCATTGCTTTAAGCGGGTTAACTTTAAATATCAAATTAACTAAACAATTAACTATACCACACGCCTTTTAGAACGTAGCAAAAGACACTACCGTATTTTTAGGTATTAAAAAAGCAATTAATCCTGAAGATTCTGATCAGGATAATCGGCCAAATTTATCAAATGATTGTATTGCCGCCGGACCCTAATAAATGTGGGAAGTTTCAATTTAATTAGACGTTTTGAGGTGGGTCAAAATCACGTTTGTAGAATCCGTTATATACATACCGCATAGTTTGTATCTATGTATATTAAATTAACATTTATTATTACTATGTAATGTTAATATAATACTATGCTTTAAATTTTTATATTAAAAAAAAATCTCACCTGTGGTGTCGTTATGGCAGCGAATTAAAGGCTCGTTGACTTGCTCCATATTGGCTATAATGTTCCTGTGAGATAGCTCTACGCCTTTCGGTAATCCCGTAGTACCACTGGAATATGGTAGAAAGCAAATATCGTTGAGACCTCTTCTGACTTCTTTCAAACACGACTTGTCTACGTGAACATCTTCACTGAGTTCGTTGAAACAAGCTATCCCTTCTGGAATCGGGTCTTCACTTGTTTTCACTACAATTATTGGAATATTTAGTTTGCCTATTTTAAGAGCTTCTGTAACAGTTGGAACTATTTCAGGTAGCGTTACGATGATTTTCGCTGACGACATTAGTAATTGACGCTGAACTTCATCTGAAAGATTCAAAATTGGACTATAGTTAACGTATGCTAATAATTATGACGGCTGGTCATGCATCTTAATTAATGCTATTGCGTATGCGTATGAATTATTTTTTACTGAGGGGCTCGTGGCTACGTGGTAACTGGGTAGGTAGTGACATTGCAAACTTAAGCGATCTTAGTCAGGTCAGTCTATGGATGGGTGACCATTCTCGCCTAGGAGATTATGGAAAATTTTCTTTATTCTAGTGTGTATGTAGTTGTGTATGAGTGTAGAGTCTAAACAGGATCATGCATTTCGACATATGAGGACATTGAATATTCTTAATTAAGAGAAGTGACGAAGTTTATAAAATTTAAAGATGACATATGTGCAAAAAAATCTTAGATGGAGAGTTAAATGTAAACTTTGTTAAAGAGTTTTTATGTAGAGGTTATACTCCAGTATTTTTCAGTTTCAGTTTTTTAGATTCAGTTTGGTTGCTTCCACTATCCTGCAGTCGATTAAAAATAATTTATAATTAAATTTCATAATGTAGTTACTATTAAACCCTTTTATATCTATTATTTACACGACTTCAATAGCTTATTGACAGTATGTTAGTTTAAAGCGTACAGCTTGTTTCTCGATATCATCATCATCAACAGCCTTTAACCACTCTGAACATAAGCCTCTTCTTAGAAATAAGGTTTTCTCAAGATATCACGGTAAATTAAAAAAAGGTACTTACGGGCAGTATAAATTGGGTTCAGACTGGTAATGATTCCACCAGCTCCTAGAATACCTAAAGCGACTAAGGGATAATCAGGAACATTGGGCAGCATCACTGCAATGGTATCACCATCGCGAATTTTGAACTTTGTACGGAGATTAGCTGCAAAAGTGTTGGAAAGCTTAAAGGCATCCGCGTAGGTGTACCCTCGGCCGGTAAGGGCACATACCTGAAAAATTAAAAGGTAGTCATATAAATTCAGAAGGAGATAGAGCACAACAGATTTCTGCTTAAATTGGAAGTAGCCTTAATATTGACAGTATGCAGCGAAAGTGTAATTGCTTTACGGCAACGGTACAGAAATACACATAAGCTGCATTACTGGTGGTTTAACCCCCGAGGTAAAGGTTGAGCGTAGCGTAGCGTTGAACTTACCCCCAAAGGGGGAGTAAATTCGACGTGTATACCATCCTACATATACTCGTATACATATCTATACTATGTACTTGTATATTATCTTTTTGTTTTGTGATTACTTGTAAACTTACAAATCCTAAAGATAATATACCTAAAGAAAATAAAAAATGCAAATTGAGATCGTGTGCAGTTTAGTTACAAATGTTATTTTTATTACCACTATCACAACTATAGGAGATAATGTAATAATAATATAAAAAAAACACATCTCACGTGCGGCCGTCCGACCCCAAACTAGGCAGAACCTGTTCTATGTTAACCAGACTGCTGATAACAGACTTGTTTACTTTTAAATACACAGATAAATATATGAATTACACCACGACCTAGGAATACTGACCAAGCTCATCACCCAAAAATTTCTCCTGGGTAGGAAACAAACCCGCGACCTCTGGTTTAGCAGTCAGGGTAACTCACCACGTGTATCTCTTAATGTTTATACATGTTGGAGCTCATCATCATCATCAAGCATCAGCTCACCAGAGCCGAGGTTGTAGATTACTACTACTATTATTACGATTACTCTTATTAATTTAGTAGAGTATATTAATATGTGAGACTCAAACCAACTAACCACAAATAAGTCTATAACAAGGGTAAGGAAGCCACCGAGAATCTTTACAGACTTAGGTCGCCTGATAACCAGGTGACCACATCGTGGAGTAGATTGTGATGTTATAAGATAAGTAATTTCAGAGATAAGGACTCAGGGTATTGGTTTAAATCTAAAGATTTGCAAAGTAAAGTAATCCTAGCCAGGTCAATCTATGGATGGTTGACAAATTCTTAACATAATGACACCCCTTCGTGCCTCGGAGAGTACGTTAAGCGGTCGTGCCATACAACATTTGTGGTAATTGGAGTCCCAGTCTTTCTACAGCACTTCGATATCGCCTAGTACTTGGGTTGTGGAGGTCTGATGGCAGTCACTCCGCGTAAACAATCAAAGTTACAACGTATCATAGTAGATATAAGTCGACCCCAACCTAGTTTGGGAAAAAAGCTCGGAGTAAATCTAAATATTATAACCGTGCTGCATAGATTACACAAAATAACTGTTCTACTAAAGTTAGGGCCAAATTTTGTGATAGTTCTTCACATGAAGATGAAACTGTTTTGTTAAATTTTTTAGCTGTGTAACCTTTTCTTTACGTGTGGAAACCCTCTCAACCTGTGTCAGCTGTAAATGTCAACAAATCTCATAGATCATTTTGCAGGTTACGAATTCCTAAGTACCTGCGCGACTTGCGCTTCCTTGAACACTAAGATTTCATTACATAGTGCTATCTGCCTTTCTGATACATCGAAAAAGTGTCTAATCTTTCTTCATAGAGTTTTTCAAGAATATTTAAAGCGCTATAAAACGACTTACGGGCTGTTAGAACTTCATTGACGATTTTGTGGATGCTTTAAAAAAAAAGTTACTTACCGAAACCGTCCTCTCCGGCCATTTATCTAGGTTATGCCACACATAATCGTACAAAGTACAGTTTGGTATCTCAATACTCTTGTATGGAGACTTGATTACTTTGTCCTGAGTCCACACACTATGTTTTCTTATTAATACACTCGCGTATTTCGAACTTTGTTTCACTTTACTTAAGGTTCTATTCACGGTAAATAATTTTTTTCCAACCATTGTTCTGATCTGAGGACGTGCTAACAACTAAAAAAGCAACCGTTTTTTATGAGAATTATTGTTAATCCTATCTTGAAGAGTGGTTGATAACGCTGTTTGTGTTTAGTGCACGATAATGACACTGGTGTACTTTAGACTAGCTGTCGGAGATACGCTTGGGTTATTAGACAAAAAAGATAAGAAGGACACAAATACCTTGACAGTGAAACCATGCAAGCGACTACAGCACCTAATAAGAAGAGAGAAGAGAACTATACTGATTACAGTTCTCTAAGGATATAATAACATTTAACACAAGCGGAGCTAAACCAAATAAGCTTCAACGCAAGCGGAGCTAAAAAAAAGGAGATAAATAGAAATAAATAATACCATAGACGAAATAAAATCCGTTTCTGTGATTTTAATACATTTTATTCTAAACATTTGAATTTCTCAATTTGTTTTTATGTAAGTAAGATACGTGTTTTTTTTTGTTTTTGTTAATGGGGTGGAAAATCCCTTTGGATCTCCTACTCCTTGGGGACTCAGGTGTCAGGAATATGTGGTGTCCTACCCTGGGAGGACCCGGACCATGTAACTTCAGGTTCTTTCTGCCCCATCAGGCCCGGGAGGACAACCTCCACTCGACCCAATTCGTCGCCGGCGAACCGGACGGCGGAGGCACGCTTACCAGCGCCTTATGCCGCCCTGAGTGTGGCCGCGGGTGGACGGGACGGGTTTTCCCTTTCACGCGCTTTAACGACCAGCCGCGAGGAGGCGACATCCGCGTGTGCCGGACGCCGCCTAAACGGAGAATGTACCCGAGGATGGTGCCCGCGCAGTTGCGGGCAGGCGCTAGAAGGTGTCCGGATGTCCTATTACAGGCACAGAGTGGCACACCCTGGTGAGGTGACGGACTGAGGGGGTTTCCCACACGTAAAAAAATGAAAAATAAAAGGGAAATCACTTCCCCCTTCAATCGTGGCGTCTCGATTACGTCTTAATAAGATCAGGCCGCCATCCTATCCGCTCTTGCTTTCTGGGTGCGGCCGTATCGAATCCACTCTCGGAATCGGCCCTCTCCCTATGCTGTTTAGCGGGCGCTTTCTGGAGCATTACAGCTTCACAGAAAGAGAGCACCGAGTTGAAATTATTTCGTGTTTATCTGTGGTCGCCATTTGCATAAAAAAACCGTAAGCCGTGTGGTGACGGATTAAGAATGCAGAGTGTCACCACCCCTATTCATCCCGTGGGTGTTGTAAGAGTCGACTAAAGGAAAAAACTATGCAGAACAACAGCACTGCAGAGAGAAGGAAAACTTGACAAAAACCCTATACCAACCCGTCTGGCCTTTCTAAGGAGAGGCTTATGTCCAGCAGTGGACTGTTAGAGGCTGTTGATCTGATGTGATGTGTGTGAACTTAAGGAAATAATTATCTTGTTTTTCTACATACCGACAAATAAAGCTGTCAGACTTATTACGAAATAAATTGTTCTCCTACCTCTTCAAACGGTCATAAACATTGAATAAGACACGTTTTAAGTAGATAAGTAAGTAAGTAGATACTTATATTGCAATATCCGCGTGGTGACGGACTAAGAATACAAGATACAATAAGAATTATAAGTACGGACTTATAATAACATTTACAATCATATGTGTATCTTAGGTTTAAAACACCTAATGCCTTACGCCGTAGTAAGGTACTCGTATAATGTGTATTAAACGCTCGCATTATAAATGTATGTTTTAAATATATTAATCATAACGTTCTCTACAATGTAAAGTTAAGATCAAGATGGTAATACACCGAAACCCGGATTACCTCACTTAACATTTCATAAGTAATCTACAAAAATGTAGAGTCTGATCAGTGATAACAACACAGCAACACGATTACAAAATAACAGAACATTACGAAAAGGCTGTTCATTGTTTGTGTAAATACTGATTATGTCAAAACTCAAACATCTAACAAAGTAAAAAAATGTCGAAACACATAATGACTAGTGCTTTGCTCCGCAGCCAAGAAAACCGAAATGTCCGGAAATTACAGTTAATCTGTGAACACCGTTTAAATATTTGAGTATCCGGAAATTTTACAATATAGTATAGCAGTTTTCTTTTTTATTTTACATCTTCATGCACTTATGTACATCGGCGGACTTAATGCCCTGGGCATTCTCTACCAGCCAGTTTTCTATATAGTATTTATCTTGCATTTTACACATACATGTAATTTTTCTGATCGTATGTATGTCGCCGAGTTCCCTTCGATTTTGATTAAATTCTTTATACTTTTAAGTTGGTTTCTCAAAGATTTGGACCTAGTAGGTGGCGGTTGATAGGATCTAAGACTTTTTAAAATTTTATCATAACTTTTTTTTTTAAATAATGGCAATAGAAGATTTTATGAATTTTCAATTTTATGTATTTTCCTTCTCTCATCAAATCAAATCTCCGGGGATTTATAAAATTCGGCAAATCTCCGGACATTAAAATCGTCTCCAGTGTAAAGTTCTAATAATAACGTCCATGGCCTTTTTTTTAATCTCTACTAATAGAGACGTACAATGTATTTGTTTATAAACGATGAGGTCAGACTTTACACAACGGATTTTAGGATAGGATGTAAAAATGATGCAAAATTTGTAACAAATTTCTATTTCAATGGTCATTAAAATTAAAACTACATAGAGGCAGATGATGCATGCATAAAAATTAATGGTGAATAGCGCTTTTCAGATAATTGAAAGGTAGTGCAGTACAGTGAACTGCCGACATTTCCAGTAACGTAAAGGAAAGTCAAAGGATCCGTTCACATACATTAAAAATCAACAAATATTTATAATAATCTAACAATTTTTGACAATGATTATACTCATACAGAAAATTTTATATTTATTAAAATCTCGGAATACTCTTTCCATAGGGAACTAATTAGGAGAACAGCACAACAAATAGAAGAACTTGACACAAACCCTATATACGAGTAGTATAGTAGACCAACACCTTACTAAAGACAGTGCTAGCAGTGGAGTATTTTAAAGGCTGTTGATGCTGATGATGAAGGAACTAATTATATGAGTAATCTATTAGATACGTCAGGATGATCTTCAAATTAAAGAACTGATTCAGTTTTGATTAGATACAAAACTGTACTTAATAAGAACTGAGCTATATTTAAATCATGTTTAAATCTGTTGTGAATAAATTTTTCCTTTTATTTATGGTATGAGTTGGTAATTTCAGGAGCGAGAGCTCTTTTGTTTTTTAAATAGAATCGCATTCATAATATATTTAAGGTAGCTTATTTTCTTTGTTCTTAGATATGCAGAAGATTGTTTTGTTGAAAAGTTTTATTAAATTTTGATCTTTTGTTTTCCTCTTATTCATTATTGTGGATATTCATGTTGTCTGTCTACAAGAAAAAATCATTATTTTACTTTAACGATAGTAACATAAAAACGGAGTTATATGAATGCAAATAAATTTTATTTCCTTGTGGGTACTAAGGGTTTTTGGAATTAAAAGGAATAAACTGAACCACTATTACTAATTAGAAAAAAAAACCTTTATATTGTGTTGTTCTTTTTCATGGCTACATAATATATATACATATATAGGTATATTTATGGCATTATAGTTCATTTTTTAATTCAAATCAAGAAATTTTACATCAGTGTCAATGAAAACACGTCAATGGAATAAAATAAAGTAAGTAGTTTGTTTGGATCTAATTTTCTTCCCACTATACAGTTGTATAATATTTCCAAGAATAATACTCGAACAGTGGAACAATGGAATAAAAACTCTTTACGATGACGTTTTCACTTAAGTGTTCTAAATCACTACGAGGCTTCTTTAACAAAGACACCACAATTTCCCATAGTAAATTGTCATGTCTTCCAATGATAATAATTGCACAACACTTGTTTAAAAACAGTTGTGATGTGGATAAAACATTAAACAATTCATTTTAAATTAAACTATGTTACACTGTGATTATAATCGTGTTGACCTCTCTTCGTATTGAAACGTGTTGATACATTAATACAGATATATAGGTACATTTACATCTTTATTTAAGAAGAAATTGGTAATTTTGGTAAAATTTATGTATTTTCGGGTAGCACTAAAGATTTCTATTCTTAATCATTCGTCAACACCGCAATAGTAGGATAACATTATATTTTAGTTACCTAAAGGGTCTCCAGAGTTTTAAAATAAGATAGGGTTAACCGATACCAAGTGCCAATTATTTGCGAGTGATTTACCTTGAGGCTCTTTAACACCATAGTCTTATGAATAAGAGAAAAATAATAAAACAAACCATTTAGTTAGTTAGTTATTACTTCGTCGGAAAGTGTAAAATTCAGGACAGCCTTTGATAGGAAAAACTATGAGTATCAAAGTGCAAATATTTACAACAAACTACATAAGATTTCAAATCTTCAACAACAGACAAAGTTCAAAGTCAAAATCAAAATTGAACAATGGTTACACTCTCTTGATTACCACGACACAGAGAACCTACTGTAGTTTGCTAAGACAGACGTAGATATACACACTCACAACAAGCACACGTACGCACGCACACGCCCACACACACACACACATACTCACACTTACACACCCACACACACATACATACGCATATACGACCTATTTCATTGCCCAACCTAACCATGTTACATTTTCATGTAGAATAATTTAAGTTTACCTATAATGCATTGCACAAAGCGGAACCACTGATTCTCTAAAAACAGGAAATCCTAGTTTGAGGATCAGGGGACTCATATAATTGAATACCATACTACTCATTATAACTTATTTTTGTTAAATGTAGTCATTGTGTAATTTTCTTCTTATTGTATGGTTAACTTTATTCAATAAAAAATATTATTATTATTAATTAAGACAAAATATCGTAAGGTTTTAAGTTTTTATTAATTCTAAACCACATCTCCACGCCCTTATTAAACTTGAATGAACTAAAATATTTAGCCTTTCCCTGCAG